TTTTGTATATATTGATGGAAAATTAAATTAACATAATTAATTAATAGTAATTTTTGGATATGAGAATTGAAAAAATAATTCATTTGATAATCAATCTTTTACAATTTTTTCATCTCTTGGATTATTGATTAAACTTCGCTGCAGATGAAAATCAAATAAAAACTCAGTATTAAATGAAAATCTTATTTAGAGCTTTCTATCATTACTGATTTGTGCCTTAATTATTCAAAAAACATGCAGCAATTAATCTTTGAATTATTAATAAACTAGTAAAAATCAATAGCGTAAGCTTAAATTAATAGCAAATTAAGTTTTTTCAATAAATTTAAAGAAAACAAAAGTATATGAAACATGATGTTATCCTAAGTGTTAATATTTTAGATAATTATTTTTTTTATTATGGATCATACAAGTACAGCAATTATTATTTAAATCCTAATGAATCATAATTTAATAAAATAATAAATTAAAAAACTGATTTTATTTCTTGAAGTTTATATGGAGAGACTTGTTTTTGCATTAATTACTAAAGTTTAGGGTTGATGATTATTAGTGTATCTTTACTTAGCTTGATAAGACTGAATGAATTAAGAGTTTAGGTTTTGTTTGTAAAGAAATTTGGAATCATAATTAATATAATTATTGAATAAAATCGGAATTTTATAAAAGTCAATAAATAATGAAAATTAGCCAAATTGAATTGTTCTATTGGAAAAATATATGGCAAAATAAGAATTTCATTTTGTTAAAATATAAATAATTAGCAATTAATATATTTATTAGTAAAACAAAATATTTCTAATTAATTTAAAATGATTAAATAATCTAATTTTACTTAATAATTTTTTTTTTTATTATTCATTAAACCAAGATAACTAGCTGAAAAAGAATAAATTTGTGAAGATATTAATTTATAAATTATCTAATTAACCAATTAAGTTTGGAGATGCAAACCTAGTGATTCATCAACAATAATTTATTCATGTAACAGTGGAATGGATTTCATCCAACTAGATTTTGATTACAACATATTAGAGTTCACAATACCAAACATGCCCCTTCATTTCGAAGTCTACACATTACAATATTCCTAATCAATATAATTTAAAAATAACTGTTTTAAATTGATATATTTGCTTACAGCAGAAGGGAAAATGAAATCTGGATAAAATGAATTGAAGGGTAGATTAATTACCAATTACATCATATGACAATTTTGCTTTATCCTAATTAAAAGGAGAATCTAATTAGTTATTTAAAAATATAAAAGTTCTGATAAATTTGCATTTTGAAATTCAAATATTGTTTGTAACTATAAAAGATTATGCTTAACAGGTCATATCTTTGATAATACTAAAGATCTTTTTTTACTTAAAACTATTGTATGTTGTGATAACTTAGTTGTTGAAAAAGAGGATTTCGTGTATTTAAGAATATGCATAAATGATCTGGTTAAGGATATATTTAAAATAATTTTTATAAATCCTTCCTACCTCATGTATTATTCTAAATTTTTTTTTTAGTAATTCTTTTGTGAAATTTTTTTAAGATTAATTCTGTTTAGAATGAAAATTGGGATACTCTTGAAATTAAATGAAATAAATTTAATACATTTAGTGATTAAATAATGTGTTTGGAAGAATTTGATATTTTAATGATAATAGCTATTCATGCAAAAAAATTCTGATGAGGCGTACTCTAATTGCTTATTGGAAAGCTACAATAATGTAATTCAGAATTGGATCTTTTTTTAATCACTAAATGTTGCAGTTTGTTATTATTGGCACTGTATCAAATTTATTGATGTTTTTCATATTAGAAAACAAAACTTTTATTTCTATTTACAAGATTTAGCTACAAGTTTCCCTTACTATTAAAATTTTCCTACCAAAACTACTTAAAAAATCTTAAGGATCCAGGAATTGCTCATACATGTCCATCTATTCTAAAAAAATCTCCAATTCCTGAAATTTAAATCCGAAACAGGTGGATAGAATAGACAACCAATAAATTTTAAATAAAAAAAAATTCAACAAAAATTTCTGTAAATCCTGATGTGTTGAAGAAAGAAAAACTTAATTTTTAGAGATTTTGATGATGGGAACTTTTAATCAAATGACGGTTAATTTTTGTTATTATATTCAATTCCAGAATTTATTTTTTACTTGCTAAATAAGTAGTAGAAGTTATTAATTCAACTCCGTTTTCTGGAACCATCTATTAAAAAATCCCAAATTTAAATGGTGATTCATAAAAAATAAAAGTAGAGGTCATAGAACATGCTACTCAAACTCTAATTACTGTAATTTATTAATATAGCAGAGAGGCCATTAACTCTATTGATTTTTAATCAAACTATTGTTATTGGTTTTTTCAGATTTCGTATTTTCTTCATTGCAATGTTTAATATTTTTATTCTCTCTAAAATCAATATGGTTGAGTGGTTGAGCATGACATAAATTAATTTAATTTATGTCAAGGAGATGTAACTATTTTTCCTAACTAAAGAAAAAAGTAATTAATAAAAATGTGTTTTGCTAGTGTCTTATATCTGTAAGCATTTTGATAAATAATTTTATTTAATTGATCTTCTTTTTATTGATTTATAATTTGATCCTCATCTACTATTGAGGGCAAAAAATCGATTAAATTGCTTTATTAATTCAAAGTTCAGAGATTTATAGCTACCAAAAATTAGATATACATTTAATAAGAAAAAACAGATTCGCTTACTTGTTTCATAGTATTTCTACTCTCAAGTACAATCTTAAAAAGTTTGAAAAATTTTTTGTGTTGTATTTTTACATCCAAATATTTATT